GACCCCTTAATGCCTCACTGGTCATTGTGGGGACTTTTTTTTTTGCTCTAAGAAGCTACTGAGGAATTCTCTGTCAAGGAGAAACAAAGTATAACTTTACAGTTCAGAGATTACTCTAGGTCCTGAGTAAGCACTAGCTGTTGGGAAGCAAGGGTAGGGAGAGAAAGACAAATTTTGATGTGACTATAATATTCAGGTGAGGGATTTTAGGGTTAAAATGAAGATCTGGTGGCATTAGTATTAAGTATGAAGAGTCCAGATTTAATTTTGCTGATGGATTGAGTTAGGGGTGGGGGGGATAAGAGATGGGAATCTAACAAGGATCTTTTAAAGCCCTAGTGGAAATGCAGACCTGGGTGCTTCAGAGTAAGCTTAGTCCTTACAGACTCACTCCCCTCTAACAACAGAGAAGTGCCTTGACAAGAGGAATTGTTCACTGGTGGATGTCCAGCTTGCACAGAGCAGGTTCCTTACATGAACTGATGCACAACCTTATTAAGGTGGTACAGAAATCAGGATAGAACAGACTTAAGAACACACTTTGGCAGGATTCTGGACTGGGTTTATATAGATCTCATAGCTAAGGTAGAAATGGCTGAGAAGATCTAAAGACAAGATGAGCCAAGTGTTTTGTTTTGTTTTTTTACAAAAGTTTATTCTTAAATGTACAATAGGTTCCAAGACAACACTTCATTCTAGCTATAGGCGGCAACAGATATTCATGGCAGGGAATCCAGGTGTTTAAACAGGAATGGAACTAAGGGTCATCACTGCCTCAGGCACAAGGGAACAGCTTACTTTTTGCCAGATTTCTTAATTCCACCAGTGGCTGCAAAAGGAAAAAAAAAGTCTCAACCAATGAAAAACACAATCTCTACGGTTGAAGCCTCAGGGGCCTACCATAGATCCTGTTAAATAATAAGGACCAGCTCTTGTACTGGGCATTTTTGTGACACAAGCATGCACAGGGCTTTACCAGTTATTTCTGGGCAAAAATGAGTAAGGTGGTGAATAAGAATAAAGACAAGGCACAAGTAATGGCTGTGCACTGATCTGAATCTCAACTGTGTTGGGTATTTCAGACTGGCTCACTTAATCCGCATCCCCTCAACCCATTTTACAGATAACAAAGTCTCAGTGTTAGATACTGTTCAAAGTTATAAATTGGTATTCAACAAAGCCTAGATTCCAACCTAGGAAGCGTGACTTCCTAAGTCCATACTGTTACCTGTCATATACCACACTACCATATATATTATGATGCTGGGATGTGATTTACTCAATACCTTTATTTTACCCAATTTACAAGTAACACACGGTAGGTAATTTAAACAGTTATAGAATTAAGCATACCTAATATAGGAATGAAAGTCCAATGGGCTGTGACAAAATAAACTTTTTTTTTTTTTTTCCAAAATATACTTTAAATGTGCATGCTGCTTGTGTTTAGTCCTGTCATACTCTGCGACCCCATGGACTGTAGCCCGACAGTTTCCTCTGTCCATGGGATTTTCCAGGCAAGAATACTGGAGTGGGTTGCCATTTCCTACTCCAGGGGATATTCCTGGCCCAAGGATTGAATTCTCCTCTCTTTCATATCCTGTATTGGTAAGAGGATTCTTTACCACTGGACCATCTAGGGAACCCCAATGATCCTGTAGGGTATAGACAACTGCTGAGAAAACAATCCCTATTTTGATGAGTGTAAACAGGATTTAAGAAGCACAAAATACAATGACTGATGAGTTTTGAAAAATATTTTTATATGTAATCAACTCCCCTTACACAAAGGGAGAAGAGACATAATGGTAGAGAATTAAGTTTAAAAACACACCAACAGCACGCCAAGAAGCCTGGACTTTATCCATTAGCCTAGGCGCATCCAGCAGTGAAAACTCAGGGTGCAAAAGTATTTGCTAGACTTTTAATTATATGAGTAATCAAGAAATGTTATAAGCAACAAAGTAGTAATGAAGTACGGATTTGGAGCAAGAAACTGTAGAGAATATCTGGAAACTCAACTACACTAACTTGTGTGAGATATATTTCTGTATTTCCATTTCTGCCACTTCCCTAAGCAAGAAAAGCCCATACTGGGTCTGGCTCTCAGCCCGTCCCGCTGCTGCGAATCCAAGCCTGGCTAGGACCATCCACCGCAGTGGACAGGAGCAGAGACCTTGCAGCTTATCCACGAGGCAGAACACTGACCTGCTCTGCTCGGGACCGTATCCAGACTGATGCTCACGCGTTTGTCCGGTTTGATCTCTACCCTGCCCTCACTTACCCAGGGGGCCTTTCCCCGCGGCCTTTGCTTTTAGCTCCTCGAGTTTCTTCTGCTCCTCCTTCTGCTTCTGCTTGAATGCCTTATCTTCCTAGGGAGAGAGCAAAGCGGGTTCACTGCAAGCGGATTACCCAGTCCCTCCGCGCCCGCCCACGCCTCTGCGCCCGCCCTCACCTCGTCCATCTCCTTGGCTTGCTTCTTGGGCTGCTTCAGGGGCTTCTTCTTGCCACCTGCGTGAGACAAGAACCCGCTCAGCCTGTCCCCCGCCGGCTGTCGACCCTCTGCGCCCTGACCCACTCCATCGTCCCTGCATACTTACCTTCGCGGCCCGACATGGCGCCTGCCGCCCCTTCCCCAGACCCTGCCACCGGAAGCGGAGCTCCCCGTTCCAGCAGCCTGCGCCTATACTTCTACGCGGGCTCGCTGATTGGCTCCTGACGCGGAAGTTGAGCTCCTGCCGGAAGCGGTCCTCTGGAAGGCGGGCCGTAAAGGGTCGGCGATCAACTGAGTGGCGGGCGCTCCTTGGGGGTTGCGGCGCAAAGCGCGTCAGGTACTGGGGCTGGGGGATGTCCTTCCCGGGGAGAGTCCGGAAGCCGCGAGGGATGCTTAAGTTGCAAGCGCTAAGCCTGGAAAAGCACAGGGAAAGCACTGCAGGTAGAAGGATGGGCTTGTGCAAAGGCCTTGAAGCTCGGTGCATCGCTGGAACCTAGGAAAGCACAGTGTGACTGGAGGGAGATGTGAGGGAAGTAGGTGCGGGAGCGGGGGGCGGCTAGATCACCGGTTCTAGAGCTTTGGAGGCTCCCAGAAGGAGTTTTATAATATAGCTCGGAGTGCGACATTTTGCAAATTCTGTTTATTCATCCAGTACTTTTTTGTTGGGCGTGTAGCACACTCAGGTAGTACTTTAGGCACTTAGGCTGCAGCAATGAACAAAACAGTGCTTGCCCTGGCAGAGCGGCCATTCTGTTGAGTAAGATAAGACTATCGGTGAATACGAGAAATGCAAAGCACGGATCCTGTGATAGTTGTCTGGGGAAAAATAAAACAGAGTGGGTAAGGCGTCCTGGAGTGGGAGTGCACGGCTGTGACATTTGAGCAAGACTTGAAAAAAGAAAAGAGAGCAAGCGCACAGATAGCGACCAGGAGGCCTCAGGGTCCTGAGGTGGGAATAGCTTAGTGTGTAGGAGCAGCGTCAGGAAGCCTGGAATTGTATGGGAACTTTGTGAAATGAAAGATGTGTCAGCTAAGCTTATCGTGGTAAACATCTGGCTATCTGTACATTTGTCACGTCATCACATTGTACATCTTAAATTTATGTGATGGTGTATGTCAATTTTATCTCACAAAAACTGGGAGAAAAGGTCCACGTGACTGGAACAGAGTGGGGAAAGGGAGACTGATGGGAAATGAGGTGAGAGGACAGAATGATGAGGGCCAGGAGGTGGATGCCATGTAGGCCTTGGAAAGGATTTTGGCTTTTACCTTGAGAGAAATGGGGAAACCACTGCAGGACTTGAGCAGAGAGAGAGATGGTCTGACCTGTGTTTTGAAAGGACTGCTGCCTGCTCTGACAGCAGGGGCTAGAGTGTAAGCACAGACATCTGTCAGAGGCTCTTAGGATAACCCAGGCAGAAGACGTTGGCCTTTGGGACTAGGGCTTCCCTTGTGGCTCGGCTGGTAAAGAATCCACCTGCAATGCGGGAGACCTGGGTTCGATCCCTGGTTGGGAAGATCCTCTGGAGAAGGGAAAGGCTACCCACTCCAGTATTCTGGCCTGGAGAATTCCATGGACTGTATAGTCCATGGGGTCGCAAAGAGTTGGGCAGGACTGAGCAACTTTCACTTGGGCACTTGGGGGGGCAGGGGCAGGGGCAGGAGGAAGAGGGAATCTGAATTTAGTTTCAGAGGTGGAGGTGACATTTGCTAACGGACTGGCTGTGAGGAGGGAGAGAAAGCAAAGTGAGCGATGACGTGAGTTTGAGCCTGAATGGGACTTGGAGTTTCCATCGCTGAGCTGTGGTAAAGGCAGCTTTGGGAGAGGAAGAGTCCCATCAGCCTTCCCTAGCAGAGACCTGGATTGGGCAGTTTGGTAAATGAGCCTGGGATTCAGAAGAGAGATGTGGACTGGAGAGGCCTAAATACAGTTTGCTTGTATGTTTTTTTAATTTATTTTTGGCCACACCATGTAGCTTTTTGGATTGAGGTTCCCCAGCCAGGGATTGAACACAGGCCCTGACAGTGAAAGCTTCCAAGTCCTAAGCACTGGTCTAACAGGGAGTTCTGTGTTTTTTTTTGGCTGTGCTGGAGCTTCCTTGCTGCATGGGCTTTTGTCTAGTTGAGGCAAGTGGGGGCTACTCTCTAGTTGCGGTGTGCGGGCTCTAGTGCCAGCAGGTTTGTGGGTTTCAGTAGTTGTGGCTCCGGGGCTCTAGAGCACTGGCTTAGTAGTTGTGGTGTGTAGGCCTACTTGCGCCTTGGGATCTTCCCGGACTAAGGATTGAACTTGTGTCTCCTGCATCGATAGGCAGATTCCTCACTACTGAGCCACCAGGAAAGCCCTGTTTGTTTTCCAGTGACAGCTTTATTGAGATATGATTTACATAACCCTATACTTCCGGCTCCCCTGGTGTAAGGAATCTGCCTGCAGTGCAGGAGCCGCAGGCTTGATCCTGAGGTTGGAAGATCTCCTGGAGAAGGGCATGGCAACCCACTCCAGTTTTCTTGACTAGAGAATCTCATGGACATAGGAGCCTGGCGGGCTACAGTCCTTGGGGGTCACAAAGAGTCGGACAGGACCAAAGTGACTCAGCAGGCATGCAGCCATACAATTCACCTACCTAATGAGTACAGTTCAGTGGTTTTAGTGTATTTACAGTCTTGCGCAACCATCCCTACAATCATAGAATATTTTTGTAGCTGGTTTTTCAAGTCACAAGACTGGATGAAAGAGGAGACTAAGGACAGAGCCCTGGGGCACCATGTGGAGAGGTTGTGGAAATGAGTGGGGACTGGAAGCCAAGAAGAGAAGAAGGTGGTTTAAGAAGGAGGAAGCTATCATAAGGCACAGGGCAAGTGAGATGAGGAGGAAACTGATCATTGTTTTTAGGCACGTGGGAATGACCGGAACAAGAGCAGTTGCACTGGCCCAGTGGGAGTGCAGGCCAGATCAGAGAGGGGGTTAAGTGAGAACAAGAGAAGAGGACCTGCAGAGAGCTGGTGCAGGCGCTCTGTCAGGGAGTAAAGAGGAGCAGAGAAGCGGGGCAGTTGCTGGGGTGGGGTGGGGTGGTCGCATCAATTCCCGAGCCGAGCCGTGTCTGAGGAGGGGAGAGGATATGGGACCTGGAGCACGGCATGGCCTTCCCTAAGCCGGACGTTTTCATCCTGAAGAGTAAGAGAAGGTGGGGATGAGACAGACACGGGCAGGTGCGAAGATGCGGTAGGAGTTTATGGGCGTTCTCTTCCAATTTTAAAACATTTTCTGGGTGAGAAATGAAACCAATCATCAGCTGCAGGTGAGCATGAGGTGCTGGTGATGGAGGTTTGAGGAGAGGGCAGTTGGTAGGAGACACTCGTCTGGATGGAGCAGGAGAATGGATTTGGAGAGGCAAGGTTCTGAACCTGCCCCAGACCCTGCTTGCTTTGGCCTCTGCCTGCCTGTCCAGCTTTCCCCACTCTCCTCTTCTCTACTGCTTTCCGGCTGCACAGATAGCCCTGCAGATTTTAGACGATGTCAAGCCCTGTTCCACTTTTTCTCTCTGCCAGGAATGTCTTCCCTTTGTTGGTTGAGGGGCCTATGACACATCTCAGTGGGGAGGAGCTGGGAGACAGGGGCGGGGGTGGTGGTGGGAGGCTGAGAGGAGGCCTGGCGTCGGGGAGCCACTTGGGAGTCATTGGTGCGTCCCCTCCTGAAGCCGCGTCCCTGCTCTCTCCAGGGTTCTGTTCTGGTGAGGGGCGAGGCACACAGGAAGAAGGCAACGTGTGTGTCTGATGGAGAAAACGAAGGAGTCTGATGGTGGCGAAGGAGGGAGTTGTCAGGAAAGGCCTTATCAAGAGGTGATGTTTGAGCAGATGTAGGCGTGAAGGGGCTGGGCTAGTGGAGGAGAAGTGGTCCAGGCAGAGGAAGCGGCGGGGAACAGACCCTGGGGCGGGATCACGTTCAATGTGGTGGGGTTCTTACAGGGTGGAGAGAAGAAAGGGGATCTGGCTGAGAGGACCGGGCCTTGTTGGCCATTGGCAGGACTGGCATTCACGCCAGCTGACTGGGGAACTCTCAGGGTTTTCACCCGAGGGGTGTGATCTGACTTACAAGTTAACAGAGCCTCTCCTGTGAAGTCAGCTGTGAGGGGCAGGGGAGGAAGCCAAGACCGCGTAGGAGGCTGGAGCTGTCTTCTCTGCCCGGGATGAGTGACCTTCCTGGGATCCAGGAATGCGCTGCTGATAGAAGAGGAGCCAGGAGGGGAGGTTGAGATTGGAGGGATCTGAGGAGGTGGGGTGGTGATTTCAGATTGAGAAGGTGCTGAAAGCCGCAGAGGTGCTGGAGGAGAAATCGGAGCAGCAGCTGCTGGATGCAGCAAGGGGGAGGTTCTGCAGGCTTTCAGGGGAGCAGGCTTGTTGGTCAGGCGGGATCAAGAGAGAAGAGGGCTAGGAAGTAGCAACAGCCAGTGCGGCAGTGGGCAGGTCCACAAGGCTGCACGCTTTGTTTTGACGGGGGCGCATCTGCAGGAATGTTGTGGGCCACAGTTTGTGAGCAGTGAGCACTGGCCTTGAGGCCCTGGAGGCTTGCCTGACCCCTGGGGCATGGATGGCCTGTGCTCCCTTGGGCATTTGGGGTTCGGGTGCAGCACCAGCTTGGAGCCACTGTCTTGGGATATTCCCTTTCTGTGGCTCTCAGCTCGGGCCCCGACCCAACCAACTGTGTTTCCAAGAGGCTCTGAGCTTCTCTGTGGCACCGTGGGGAGGGGGCCCCGGGGTGGGAGGCTGAGATCACCTTACATCCAGAAGCACTTTTCTCTGTAATCGGAGCTCTCCTAGTCTGTCTTCCTGTCCCCTGCTCCCTCTGCTCTCCTCTCTCTGGTCCTGTCCTTTGGCTCCCAGGTGTCACTCGGACAGCCACAGTCAGTACTTGGGGGCAGGGTGCTCTGGGGGCAGGGTTTGCTGAGGGCAAGGGTCCCTGGCTCTCTCTTCTGGGTCCTCAGCATCATTCCTGCACTAGGGCCCAGGCCAGGCCTGCCTGGCTGATGGGAGACTCCTTGTGCCGTTCAGGTACCAGACGAGTAGGCGTTGTGGGGGACCAAACATCAGAGCAAGGCTGAAAAGGGAAAGATTAAAGAAACTAACCTGTTGGGCAGTTCCCGGGGTTGGGGAGGAGGAAGAAAGCTTATGAAAAGTGAGACATGTGAGACTGGGAGTTGGTCACCTGGAATGTCTGGGTTTGGAGGGAGAAGGAGGGTTTGCTGGGAACCTCAGAAGAGCGGTCCTCTATGAAGCAATCCAAGCGGTTTGGTTTTGCTTTGTTTTTACCCTGGAATTGTCTCTTGAGGGGGGAGTTTTCTGCCCTGGGACATGAATGACCTGTGCCCTAGAACAGAAATGAAACTGCTTCCCTGTTTGGAGACAGCCCTCAGGGAGTTCGGGAAGCTGGTTTTGATAGTCATTTACAGAAATCTTTCCCCAAATCCCCTCAGTTGATTTCACAGTTTCCCTGGCAGTCTTTGTGAATCCTTTCGGGGCTCTGTCAGCATGGACACAACACAAGTTTCAGAATTTTCTGTGAGGGACTTCCCTGGTGGTCCAGTGGCTGAGACCTCGCTTTCCAATGCACAGGGTGCAGGTTGGATCCCTGGTCCAGAGCTGAGATGCCACATACCTCATGGCCAAAAAAGCAAAACAGAAAACAGAAGCAATATTGTAACAAATTCAGTAGGCCAAAAAACCAAAGCATAAGGAATATTGTAACAAATTCAATAAAGACTTTAAAATGGCCCACATCAGGAAAAAAAAAAAAGAATCTTTGAGGTTATCCGAAAACTGGCCACCAGTCTTCTCCTGCAGACCTGGGGATGCAGGCAGGTGGGTGGATTGGAGGGTCTGGCTCCTGGCATCCTGGAGGGAGATGGGAGGCTTGGGTTCCTAACTATGTTCTTCCCTGACGTGCTCCATCGTCCAGGAGAGCACCTGGCAAAGCCTGACCCTAGTGGCTGCCCTCTCCGGGCCCAACAGTTTGGACTTTAAAAATATATATATATATATTTATTTATTTTGGCCACCCTGGGTCTCTGTTGCTTTGCGCAGGCTTTTTCTAGTTGCAGAGAACCAGGGCTACTCTTTGCTGCAGTTTGGGGGCTTCTCATTGCAGTGGCTCCTCTTGTTGCAGAGCACAGGCTCTAGGCTCACGGGCTTCAGTATTTGCTGCACACGTCACATGTACTTGTGTGGCACACGGGCTTAGTTGCTCCGTGGCACGTGGAATCTTCCCGAATCAGGGATCAAACCCATGTCTTCTGCATTGGCAGTTGGATTCTTAGCCACCGCGCCACCACCCAGGAAGTCCCCAGTTTGGACTTTTTAATGGAGAGTCTTCAGTTCAGAACTGTCCCTCGGGCATCAGACCTGACTTGAGCCCTGCCTTTGTCTGGCCTCTCCCCACAGATCTCCGGATGACAGGGCGCAGCCGTGTGTTGGCCATGCGGCACATCGGGGGTGTGTCTCCCGTACTGGTGCAGAGGGACCTCTTTCTGACCAGGACTCTCTGCAGCCACGGCCCCAGCCAGCCCAGAGAGAAGAGGCCCGAGGAGGTGGCCCTGGGGCTGTACCACCGTCTCACCGCACTAGGAGCAGCCCTGGGCCACAGCATTCGGCAGCGGGCGTCCTCCACGGCCAAGACTTGGTGGGACAGATATGAAGAGTTTGTGGGACTCAATGAGGTTCGAGAGGCCCAGGGAAATGTCACCGAGGTGAGGATGGGAGCTGGGGTTTGGCCCTGCCCTCTGACCTGGGCAGTGTGGTCTGGAGGCTCCTGCCAAATAAATGACCAGCCACAGGTGCTGGGAAGCCACGTCCAGATTGGTCTGTCTTTGAACACATACCACTAGGAGGGGGAGCTGAGTTGTTTCTCACATGACGGCCGGGTTTGATACTACCAGGGTGAAGGGCCCCCTGTTCCCCATTGAAACAAATTGCCGTGTATGCTGTGTACCAGGGGTTTTTGGGCCATTAACATCTTGGGCCAGCAAACACTTCCTTCATTGACTGTTTTGGGGGTTGGTGGTGAGAGTTGTCTGGAGGGTTACAAGGTCCTCAGAGTCCCGACTGTGATTAAAGCATCCCTCGTGAAGGTGGAGGCCCTGGGAATTAATCAGACTGTGAGGTGGGGAGAACCGCCTCTGGTTGTCCAGTCCTCTGTGGCAGGGGAAACGCGTTCCGCCACCTCTGTCATCATCGACTCAATGGCCATGAGTTTGAGCAAACTCTAGAAGATAGTGAAGGACAGGGAAGCCTGGCGTGCTGCAGTCCATGGGGTCGCAAGAAGTCAGACATGACTGAGCGACTGAACAACAATCTTGTTTCCTACCCTGGCACAGACCACTGTAGTGGGGTGGGAAGAACCCGGGGTTCAGCCAGAGGTATTGAGGTGCAGTGCTGTCTCTCCCCTCGGAGGCCGTGACTTTGGCTGAGCCAGGGTTTCTCAGCCTGTTGACTGGAGGCCTGGCGATGCCTGTCACGGCGTTCAGTGATGTTGGGAGGTGTAGCTAAGGTAACACCCAGGAAGCCAATTAAAGGCCCGGGGCTGCACCCCGAGGGCCACTGGGTGAGCCAGGATTGTGTGTCCGAGAGACTCTCTTTCCGGCCTTTGCACTGACATCCCCTCCTGACCTCTTCTCAGCCGCGTCTGGTTGGGAGTGGAGAGGACCCTGTTGTGGGCGTGGAGAAAGGGGTGGGTGACTTCTGTTGTTCTCACTGCAGGCAGAAAAAGTGTTCATGGTGGCTCGAGGGCTTGTCCGGGAGGCTCGCGAGGACTTGGAAGGTCAGCAGACCAAGCTGAAGGAGGTGAGGGACCGCCTGGACCGCATCTCCAGAGACGATAACCAGTACCTGGAGCTGGCCACTCTGGAGCACAGGATGCTGCAGGTAGTCCTTCCTCGCCTGGACGGGGACCCTGGGCTGCAGGGTGTGGAGGGGCGAGGTGGGCGCTCTGATGGGTCTGGGGGTCAGAGACCTGGTGAGGAGGTAAACCAGAAGACCTTGGGGAGAGACTGGGCTCCAGGGCTTCAGTGCCTTCCACCCTCTCCACTCCTAGAGAACTGGGACCAGCGGTCTAGTATACTCTGGGCCCCGGATTATTGGGAGGGAGCACCATGGAGAGGGCCTCCCGGACAGCGCCAGACACTTCCCTTCTGATCGACAGTCTGGAGACCCCCGTGCATGTCCGGTCAGACCCACGACTGCCCGGGGAGGATAGCACCGCTCACCTGGACCATCCCCGGTTCCTTGGCTCCCCCCACCCGTCCGACTTAACGCTATCCTCACTCACCCAGCGTGTTTATGGAGCATGTAATCCATGCCAGGCCTGAAGCTAAGCTCCAGGGACGTGGTTGTGGGACTTCCGCTGGAGGCTGCTGGGCCAGGTCGCTGCTACATGACAGCTTTGCTTCCGCAGGAGGAGAAGCGGCTTCGTATAACCTACCTGCGCGCGGAAGACTCTGAGCGAGAGAAGTTCTCCCTCTTCTCTGCAGCTGTGCGGGAAAGCCACGAGAAGGAGCGCACTCGGGCGGAGAGGACCAAGAACTGGTCACTCATTGGGTCAGTCCTGGGGGCCTTGATCGGTGTGGCTGGATCCACCTATGTGAACCGTGTGCGGCTCCAGGAGTTGAAGGCTTTGCTCCTGGAGGCCCAGAAGGGGCCTGTGAGCCTCCAGGAAGCCATCCGTGAACAGGCATCCAGCTACTCGCTCCAGCAGAGGGACCTCCGTGACCTCGTGGCAGACCTGAAGGGCCTGGTGCAAGCTGGGACCTCGCAGAGCTCTTTTTCCCAGGCAGGTTCTTCCCCAACCCGAGACAGAGACACAGATGTCCTTTCAGCTGCCATGAGAGAGCAGCTCAGCCATTCTAGGCAGGTCCGTTCACGTCTAGAGGGTTTACGAGAGCAGCTTGATGGCCTGGAAAAGACCATGAGCCAAGTGGCTGGGGTGGTTCAGCTCGCAAAGGCTGCAGCACACCCGGGCCTGGTGGAGTCTGCAGACGGGGCTCTGCCTGCTTCCCTGCTGGAACAGGGGAGTGTGATCATGGCGCTGTTGGACACGGAGCAGAGGCTGGAAGCCCAGGTCAATAGGAACACCGTCTATGGCACGCTGGTCACCTGCGCGACGTTTGTGGCCATCCTGCCTGTACTTTATATGCTGTTCAGGGCCAGCTAGCCCCCTGGACCCTCCTCCAGAGGGAGGGGGTATGGATGTGGATTTAGTTAGAGAATGAAGCAATGAAGTGAACTTCCGGGGGTGTACTCAGCCTGAGTGTGACCTCACCGGCAGACGTCCTTTGATTTTTAGGCAACACTAATTGACGTTAACTAGCAAATATTTGTGCTCATGTCTTTCAATTTTGTCTTATTAAAAGTCTTTCATTTTGTCTTATTTAAAGTAATGTATGTTAGACTGAGTTTTGTCCATTGAACATTCAGATTTGGAACTCGAGGGTTGGGCCTGAAAGTAAGATAATAATCACCCCCCTTATAGTTCCTCTCTCATCTCTTGATCTGGCCCTTGGTTTGAGACCATTTTGGATACATTGCCCCCCCACCCCCCAGGCCTTGATTTTCATTTCGCATTTCCTGGCCTGTCCTCCACTTGTCCAGCCCACCTGTGTCAGATGGCCCATGATTTCCAGTGAATAAAACTTGGCTTGCTGCCACTCACTGGTGACCATGGTCACGGCCTGTCTTTTGAATCACTTCTCTGCCATGTTGGAGAGTACTTCCTGGTTCTAACACTGGAGGATTGATCAGAGGAGAGCAGGGAACAGGGATTGGGGGAATGGTTGGTAAATACTGCTGGGGACAGAGTTACAGGGATTTGGTGACCAATCTGGTTCCCTGCTGGAGCGCCACTTGGGCAGGGTGTCATCTCACACATAGCCTAGGGATGGCCTCTCCGCCCCTGGGCAGAGCTCAGCCCATTGGCAGTGTGAGCGGCGAGGCAGTGATGGGGAGGGACCTCCCAGAGGTGGGAGGTGCGGCTCGGGGGGCACAGAGGCTTACTGAACCCAGAACCCTTGACCTCTTCCTTCTCAGTGGGGAACAGCAGCCTTTGACCTCCTGGGTCGAATGGCCATGGATGGCCTTGTGTGTCCTTGAGTAAACAGGAGCAGTGAGGAGGCGCTCTGCTTGCACGGTGGGTCTGAAGAACCCGCCCTCCTTTCAGGACGCAACGAGGTGGGTCAGCAGGTTGAGCAGAGCTGACGCACGGCAGAGGCCTGTGGAAGCAGAAGTGCTTCCATGAGATCCTGCCCTTCTTGGGAGCCTGTGCTCAGCCCTGGCCAGTGGCCCCCTGGGTGCAGTGAACCTCTGATCGTCTGGTCACTCCATCCGCGGCCTTGTTTTCTTTTTGTAATGATTCCTTCGGAGGGCGTGGGATAAAATGACCTCTGCACTTGGGATGTTCATCCTCCTCGTGGGGTAGGAGACACCCTATCTGTCTATAGATGAGGGGTGTTGTGGGGTTTGGAAATCCTAGGTCCTAAACCTAGGTAGGTGAGGTGGGTCCTGAGGGGTGTGCACTTGAGTGAATGGGTCTGGGGAGGGGAGGATTGCAGGTACATGGAAGGGCCACCCAATACCCGCACAAGCTGCACAGGAAGGCGAGGCAAGGTGGCTGAGGGCCTTGGGGCACACCAGTTTGACTGAGGTGGTAATGGGTGTGTAGCATAATGTTAGAGAATGGAGTGGGCGACCCAGAAGGCCAGATAGCACCTGGGGTCTGTGATGTCTAGAGACGAGGGAACTGGGGAAAGGGTGTCATCCTGGTGCAGACAGGGTGCTGAATCCTGGACCCAGATGTTGGAAGAGAGGTTGGAGGTCCGGGGAGCAAGCCGAGGAGCTGGGGAGGGACAACTCGGAAGGCAGAGCCAGGTATGTGAGAGTGAAGGCATGCTCATGGGCGGCAGGTGGGGAGAGGGTACCTGACGTTTAGCTCTTTCCACAGCAGCCAGTGTGGATGATGTAAACCTGATTGAGGCTCCCGCCAAGCCTGCAAGAGGCCCTGGGAGCTTTCAGGGTGTGTGACAAATTTTGCCTCCCAGGCGGCTGTCCCAGTGGCTGAGAGCCAACCCCCCCCCTCCCCGGAAGTCCTAATAGGATGGACTAAGTGCTGGCTCCTGAGTTTGCAGGAAGCCAAGCCTGAAGGGCCCTGCAGAGGGCACACCTGGGCCTCAGGAGAGAACCCAGGTGTGCCTTTGGAAGGGTGACGTATTTACAGGTGAGGGAGTCTAGACTTGCCCAGGGCTTCTCAGCTTGGGGCGGGTCCAGGTACAGGTTTGGGAGGAAAGGGAGGAAATGCGCCCTAGCTTGTGCACGTTTGCAGCGGTGGGCCCTCCTCTCCCAGCCCGGCTAGGTGTGGCATCACCTCCACTTGGAGGTGAGCAAACAAGCATGTGTGTTTGGGGGTCAGGGGTCAGGTTTCTTGGCTCAGTGATGGCTCAAACCCAGGCCCAACCCCATAGCCGGCGCTCTTCCCGCACAGCCAGAGGTGGGGGCCGGAAGGAGAGCTTGGCCGTTTGAGTCCCGGGAGTAGGACCGGTGGGCAGAAACCAGGCGCCCCGGAGTTCAGGTAAAGAAAGTTGGAGGAGGATGACCACAGGAGCCAGGTACTGGACAGGTTAAGAGGGAGCTCGGGGGCCCCGGAGAGCGGGGGTGGTGGTTGGCGGTGGTTGGTGGGGCAGGTGACGGGCGTGGGGACCACTGGGCGCTGGCATGCAGGCAGGCGGAGGTCCGGGCGAAGCACCGCCACACGTCGGGGTGCAGAGCGCGACCCCCACCCCCCAGCCCCCGCCGTCAGGCCCCTCCCGTGCCGGAGGGCTCCCAATTCGGCTCCAGCGCGGCGCGCAGGTGAGGCCCGGCGGGGACTGGGCGGGGTGGGGCAGCCGGTCCCGCGGCTCGGCTTTGCGCGCTCCTCCCGCCGCCATCCGCGTTGCCTTGGCAAACGGTGGGGCCGGGGCGACGCGTTCCCGGGGTGGACGGGCCTGGAGCCGCGATGCCGCCGGGCCGACGAGGCCTGGGGTGAGTGGTGGGCGGCTTCGATCCGGAGAGTTGGGACCACACTTCTCCGCGCGAAGGGAAACTCTGGCGGCTCCGCCTGTAACGCGATTGGGAGACAGAGGAGGTGGAGCCGCTCCTCCGCGCCCCCTCCTCGCCGCCGCCGCCTCAGCTGGGGACCGGCCGGCCTCTTCCCCGCCCTCCCAGGACCACTGGGGGGGTCCTTGCCCTGGTCAGGGAGGAGGGAGGAGGGTCGGGGAAGAGCAACGGGGAGGTCCAGGCTTCCCCTCCGCAGTAACAACCCTTCCAGGCGGTACTCGGCGCGACTGACAAAAGGCAGACTGGGATTCCCCCTGCCACGCACCCCCTGAGGGGGAGCCCCCCACTCCGCACCCAGGCGGTGGGTGATTGATGAGCGCTCGCTGAGTCCTCACTGGTAAATGGTGCCCCCCACCGCGCCCCTACCCCGGCTCAACACGGACAACACGGCAGGCACTCTGCACTCTGATGCTGTCAATGAGTAACTTCTGGGAGCACCCTGGGAGCCCAGTGAGAGGGCCGAAAGGAAAGGCCGGTTTTGCACCAATCCCGGCGACGCTGGTGAAAAGGGCTGGGATGTGAACACTCTCCCAGTTTCAAGGGCAGAGTTTATATGCCCTTTTGGTTGGCGAGGACAGCCCCAGGTCCAGGAGGCTGTGCTTGTTCTTTGCAGGCAGAAGTTAGGCAGCCTTGGGCCCTGCTGAATCGGTCCAGAGATGGGGGCCCAGAAGAGCTAGGCTTTGACTCTAGCTGGAGCTTGAGATGTGGGGGGGGGGGGGGGGGGGGGGGGGGAGAGAGTCGGTTGGGGGGGGGGGGGGGGGGGGGGGGGGGGGGGGGGGGGGGGGGGGAGAGATCTTAGTTGTATAAGTTGGGGACTGGAGGCCGAGCTCCAAAGCAGCCTTTTCAGTCTGCTCTGGCCTAGTCATTAATAAAAGTGGGGCTGACAACTGTGTCCTTCGAGAAGCCGGGTGGCTTGGAGTGGGTTGTGGGCTCCGCATCTCCCCTGCTGGCTGAGTTTTCTTGGCTGTAAAATGACGGTTCTTTTCAACATTCAAGGAGCACCTACTCAGGGCTGTCTGTCCTGCTTACTGGGGCCTCTGAATTAGAAGTCACATTCTCTGCCTTTAAGGAATTGCAGGAGTAGGAGAGTGAAACAGGGAGAAGAGTGGCCTTGGTTGGTGCCTTGTGTGCCAGGCACACACCGTATCATGTTGAATGATCAGAGCAGTCCTGCCTCCCATTCTCCAGATGGGAAATCTGAGGCTCAGAGAGCCCAAGGCAGAGCTGCAATGTACACCAGGGTGGTGGCTGGGGATGCCCGCCGACCACATGTGGTGGGCTTCTCTGGGAGGTGATGGTTGGGCACCTCATGTAATAGGGAGTGAGCGTGGAGGAGTGTGATGAGCAGTTCTGCCTGGCAGGAACGAAGAGCATGTGTGGGGGAGCCCTGGCAAGGATCGCACAGGAGAGCGTGTGGACGGGAGGGCTTGACCTTTATCCTCTGGGCCCTGGGGGGTGCCTCCAAAGACACTGGAGAGAGGGACAGCCTCAGATTCTGCTTGAAGTCCCCCTGAGATGGGGAGAGGTGCACCCGAGGGGCCGGAGGCTGCTCTGTGGCTGAGGTGAAGTGAAATATGTGGCCGATAAGGAGAAAAATGTCACCGCCCTTCTTTTCTTCCCACCCGTGGTATGTGGGGAAGGGCGAGGGTGGCTCGGCCCCGTGGCAGTGATTGAAGAAGGCTGACACGTTTCCCAGTGAGGGTCAGCCTCCAGCCTGCGTTGTGACTTTGTCAGAAGCTGTTTGGGTCCTGCCCATCGGCTTCCTGTGGGCCACTCGACCCAGTTGTGATTTTACATGTAGGGAGTGCCTTGGTGGCTGCCCCTTGAGGGCTGGAGAGCTCTGGCACGAAGTCGGCGCTGAGCAAATGTTTGTAAGCGAATGGTGGGGCAGACCCTCTGCCCAAGGCGCGTCCCTGGGCGGGAGGCGATGGGAGGAACTGAGCAGTAGCTGAGTGTAGCAGCCGGCCTTTGCCCATCCTCAGGCAGACCCCATCTTCCCGGGGGAAGAAACTTTCCCCTCCATGCCTTGGAAACAAGGTGGGGGGCGCCTGGGAAGCCTGGCCTTGCCATAGTCCTGGGCTTCTCACCGGGTTCACGACTCTCCCTGCCGCCCCCCTCCGCCTGCCCCCTCGGTGGCAAACAGTGGCTGCCTTGTTCCCGGTCCCATAGAGCTGCCCTGTTCTCTGCACACTAAAAATGGAAACCCCCAAGCTATTTTGGGAGCAGTGCCCAGCCGGGCTGTGGCCACAGCTCCTCGCTGGACCTTCCTCCAAGCCTTTCGCCCAGCCCTGCTCCCTCTGGGCCAGCCTCAGGAGCACCCCGCTGGGGGGGCCCTCGGCTGGGAGGAGCCAACCTGGACCCTGGGAAGCTCTCAGAGGAGCACCAGCAGACTGGCAGCCGGGTGGCAGGAGGGGCCGGGCCATGTGGCCTGGACACAAACAAGCAGGAATAGAGTCTCAGACAGCTTGCTGGTCCCCAGCGCTTTACCCACCCTGGTGCTCCAGGCTGGAGACCAGCCAGGTTTTAGCAAGGTGGTGTCATGGTTTCCTGGTCTCCCCAGGCTTCAGGTGGA